TCCCCCTGTATAAATCAATGGTGCGACCTCATTTGGAGTACTGTGTACAGTTCTGGTCACCACACCTCAAAAAGGATATTATAGCACTGAAAAAAGTGCAGAAAAGGGCAACTAGAATGATCAAAGGGTTGGAACACTTTCCCTATGAAGAAAGGTTAAAGCGCTTGGGGCTCTTTAGCTTGGAGAAACGACGGCTGAGGGGTGACATGATTGAAGTTTATAAGATTATGCATGGGATAGAGCAGGTTGAGAAAGAAGTACTTTTCTCCCTTTCTCACAATACAAGAACTCATGGGCACTCAATGAAATTGCTGAGCAGTTAGATTAAAACAGAAGGAAGTACTTCTTCACCCAAAGAGTGATTAACACATGGAATTCACTGCCACAGGAGGTGGTGGCAGCTACAAGCATGGACAGCTTCAAGAGGGAATTAGATAAGCATATGGAGCAGAAGTCCATCAGTAGCTATTAGCCACAAGGTATAGATAGGAACTTTTGGTCTGGGGCAAGTGATGCTCTGCATTCTTGGGGGGGGGGGGGGACAGTGGGAGGGCTTCTAGTGTCCTGGCCCCACTAATGGACCTCCTGATGGCACCTGGTATTTTTGGCCACTGTGTGACAGAGTGTTGGACTAGATGGGCTATTGGCCTGATCCAACAGTGGCTTCTCTTATGTTCTTAAAAACGGAGAGGGGGGAAAAGCAATTTCCTCGGCCAGGGATTTGTGGCTCTGGATAAGAATGTTAGTTTAGCCAGGGTTTTTATTTGTCTGTTAGGTAGGATTTGCTTAGGGAGGCTTAGGGAGAAAAGCTTATTTTTAGGTGATAAATGCGTGAGAAGCACCAAATCTGGGCACCTTCTGAGAACCAGAGACTGTGGCGTGAACGGTGAAACCTATACCACCAAGGAAACCTTCGTTTAGTAACCTAATGTGAGGTAAAAGTTCTAGGGAAAGGAAGCAAGAATCCCTCCTCGGTGTTCCAGTTACAAACTTGGGGGGAAAGGATGTCACTGCTGGATCACAGTGGAGAGTCATTCTACCTGACACTTTCCACACCTAACACTTTTACTGTCCTGAAAACCTATTTTCTTCTATTGAATAAAACATATTGCTTTGCCTTCACCTGTGTAATTCAATGTAAGTGGGACTAGATTTACCTCACGGATCCATTTAATATTATTATAACAGCATCTGAGGAAGAGATCTGCGGGGAACACACCGCTTACATGCTACCAGCACTTCATGACAAACTCATGTTGCCCATTCCCATGAACGTGGGCAGCTGGTGATTCAAAGATAAAGGGAGGCTAGTGTGAGGGAGGAGGCCATTTTAGAAAGGTTCCAGGCTACTACAGAAGACTCTGAGGGGATTTTAAACAACCTAATTCTAAACATAATAAAGCCTTGAGCCTAGGATCTAGTTGCCTCAGAATTTCATCTTCCTCAGCCTCTTCCCATAATCACCAAAGATATTATTTAAATATCTGAGACATTTAAATGCCACCTCTCTGCCTCTTCATTCAAGACAGTATACAAATTAAGCAAAGGTCCCAAATACCCGTGCTTACATTCAGGTGGATAGCTGTGTTGGTCTGAAACAGCAGAATAAAGTTTGAGACCAGTGACACCTTTAAGACCAACTAAGTGCAAGCACACGAAAGCTTATACCTTGAATACAACTTTGTTGATTACAGAAGGAAAGGGGGACAGAAAGGGGAAAGGGATGGAGCAAATTCAGGCACTAACTCTTAGACTTTTGGAAGGCCGGAGGCAAAACAGCAGGATGGAGTCTGTCCCCCAGAAATCTGTTTCAGAGAGCCATTTTGGAAGAAATGTTTCTATCCTCATCTCTATGGAGTAGCAACAGTAACTTAAGACCACAGAAGAGAGAAATGGATCCGGAGATCCTCTCAGAATCACAACCATGCTGCCAGATTGCATTGCTTGCTACTGGCTCAAGCAGATGCATACTAGAAGATTATGTTTTCAAACACAAAGCCTCTTAAGTTTCACGTGTCACCCGTTTGGTCACACTCCAGAGATGCTCTCATTGAGATCTACTCAATACTCGATATGTAGCTCCCAGCATTTCACTAAACTCCTGAACAGAATCAGGCCTCCAACACAAGTTAAGTGGGACTCTAAGCCTCCACTTTGTTGTTTTCTTGATCAAAACTATTTTATTTAAGATATTTACTTCATTTATGCCCTGACCTGGATAGCCCAGGCTAGCCTGATTTCGGCTAGTATTTGGAAGGACAACCTCCAAGGAATACCAGGACTGTGACGCAGAGGCAGGCAATGGCAAACCACCTCAGAAATGTCTCTTGCCTTAAAAAAAACAGGTCTAACTCGCACCTAGTGGTGCATAATGCTACACTTCTGACTGCCAGAGAATCTTAGGATCTCCTGGCTATTCTACACACAATGCTGTACAATAATTATAATTACTACTTCATTTATACCCTGCCTTTCTCCCCAACAGGGACCTAAAGCAGCTTATGCCCTTCTCCTCTCCATTTTATCCTCAAAACAACAGGCTGGTGAGGTACGTTAGGCCAGGGGCGGCCAAACCGTGGCTCAGACACCGCATGTGGCTCTTTCACACATATTGTGCGGCTCCCAGCAGGGCAGCTGGGGAACCAAAGGGGAGGCATGCCTCCCCATTCGGTCTTCCCTTCCCCAACCAGTGTTCCCCTCCCTGGGTAGACACACTTCTGACTGCCAGACAATCTTAGGATCTCCTGGCTATTCTACACACAATGCTGTACAATAATTATAATTACTACTTCATTTATACCCTGCCTTTCTCCCCAACAGGGACCTAAAGCAGCTTATGCCCTTCTCCTCTCCATTTTATCCTCAAAACAACAGGCTGGTGAGGTACGTTAGGCCAGGGGCGGCCAAACCGTGGCTCAGACACCGCATGTGGCTCTTTCACACATATTGTGCGGCTCCCAGCAGGGCAGCTGGGGAACCAAAGGGGAGGCATGCCTCCCCATTCGGTCTTCCCTTCCCCAACCAGTGTTCCCCTCCCTTGGTAGCCTTGAGGTGTGTGTGTGGGGGGGAGCAGAGAAAGCAACTTTAACTTTAAATGTGTTCTCAAAGCCCCCCCCCCCAGCTTGGAGAAGGCATTTGGCTCTTTAAATCCCTTTGCCAAGCCAGCTGGCGTGGGGGTGTGAGGGGGTTAGAAGACACATTTAAAGTTAAAGTTGCTTTCTTTCCACCCCCCTCCCTCGCATGGATTTTCTTTCTTTCCACTTTTCTTTGTCTCTCTCCCCCCTTTTCCCTCTCTCTTCTTTCCCCCTCCCTCCCCCCGTCTATTTGCTTTCTTTGTTTTTCTCTCTCTCTTTCTTCCTACCTCTTTCATTCTTTCTTCCCACCTCTCTCTCTTTCTCTCTCTTAGACAAATAAATATCATTAGCAAACAAATATCATTAGCAAACAAATAAATATCATTATCAATATCATTTACCCCTTTTATTTTTGGCAGTCTTGCATTTTTCAATAAAAATGTGTAATATTTGTTTATGTCTTGTGGCTCTCAAACATCTGACATTTATTCTATGTGGCTCTTACGTTAAGCAAGTTTGGCCACCCCTGGGTTAGGCCAAGAGACAGTGACTGGCCCCAAGGTCACCCAGCAAGCTTCCGTAGCAGTAAGGATTTAAGCTCGGGTCTTCCAGATCCTATTTACCCCACTGCATATGCATTGTCATGATGGGACAAACAGTGCTTCCCAAAGGCCATTTTGGTTGGGAAAATGGGAAAAGGCGAAGGCTTAAAAGCCACCTCTCATCTGGTACTGCTGTCCCATTTCTCATGTATGCCTAGTGAGTTTTTTGAATACTGGGAGCTCTGAACACAGGACTTCCCACATATCACATATCACATAAGTTAAGTCCTCTGCTGCAGCAAAATAACGTTCCCACACAGACTCTCTATTGTCCAGCTCCCAGCAGCAGGGACAAGATCAAACAGTAACCACCTCAGGCCACACATCAGCCAACGCCTTACCTCCCGTCCCGTCTCCACGGGTAAAGTCCCCTCCCTGGATCATGAAGTCCTTGATCACACGGTGAAACTTGCTGCCCTTGTATCCAAACCCTTTCTGAAAAAAAGAGAAGAGAGGGAATGGAATTGCTGGGACTGCATTAAACTCACCCCGGGTTAAGTCTTTCTGGAACCGCTTCCAAGTGAAAGAGCTTAAAAGCCACAAACACAGGACCGGAGAGGAGACCAAGGTGGGGGGGAGAAATTAAGCTTGGCAGAGAAGAGGAGCGCAAGGTACTTTGCTTGCAAAATTCAGGCTGCTTCCAATTTTCTCCTATCAACCTCTAGGGAGCCCCAGCACTTTTGCTGGGATGCTACAAGGCGGTACCAGAGGCGATAAACTCCCTTGTGGAATCACCACAAGCCAAGCCTGATAAATCACTTCATGTTTTATGACCCAAAGAGCCTAATAAGGCATCCTGCAGGGATACAGGGCTGTAGCCATTTTAAAAGTAGATTAAAAAATAAGGCAGCGGCTGATGGTGCAAAATCAGGTTAAAATATATTTTATTACTCAGTTAAATTTCCAAAAATTCCCTATGTGTTTTGTCAACAGGGCTTCATCTTTGTCTTGCAATCATTCTTCAAAAAGGGCACAAGGTTTTGCACCATTGGCCTTATTTTTTAATCTCCTGTGACTGGTGCAGCTCTTTATCTTCTTGCCATTTTAAAAGCAGCAATGAGAGGCAAATTTAACAGACATTTCTTTTCATACAATAGGGCAGCAGCTTCGTCTACAGAAACATCTCCCACAAACAAGACAGAAGCCCATTTTCACAGCTGTTGAGGTTTGCATTCTGAAGGTCCAACCTCAGCCTCCGCTCACGCGAGAACTAGTCTAGCCAGCCACTCCCGAAGGCCGATTTCCCTTCCCTTTGCCCAGAAGCAACCGGAAAAGGCTTGCGACTCTGTTCCAGAATCCAACTCACCTCCCCTGTGGCCAGGTCAACAAAGTTCTTGACAGTCTTGGGAACGGTCTTTCCAAAGAGGCCGATGACAACCCGCCCCACATCTTCATCCCCAATCTGCAGATCGAAATATACCTGGAGAGCAAAACAGAGGATGTAACACATGGTGGCCATGTGTACGGCCTAGCAGAGTCCATTCCCTTTTCGATGATAAAACTTACCTCAGCCGGGGTATCAAAACAGAGGATGTAACACATGGTGGCCAGAGTTATACCCTTCTAAATTCATTAAAGGGAACAGTTTTTAAAAGGTGTAACTCTGGAAAGGATGGCACTGCCCGTGGCTTCCATGGGTAAGAAATTATGTTGAAAAGGAGGATTGGACAACCTATAGTGCACAGTTGTTTGGGTGTGCTAAAAATTAGTATGCCAACAGTATTCAGTGACTTCATTTTTTCCATAAATTTGAACAAGGAAAGTACATGCTATATTGCCTTTAAATGCCACATGAAGCTTTGAATTTGTTGGAATAAAACGTTTAAGCCCCATTTAATTCCCACCCCCCAAATGCAGTATTTCAGTTCAACGTTTGTGGTTTGTTGTTGTTGTTCAGTCGCACAGTCGAGTCCGACTCTTTGCGACCCCATGGACCAGATCAGAAGGAGCGTTCCACTAATAAATCCCCTGATCCTAACATGAATCCTGGTCTCCCATCACAGCCCCCTCCCCCAGCACCATAATGACAATGCCGTGGCCTTGAAATTGAGTTTTATTTCCTTAACGTTTAAAAAACTTCCTCCTCCCTCCAAGGAGCTCAGGGGGATGCATGCTGGTCTTGTCATTTCCATTTTGCCCTCCCAAGAACCCTTTGAGGCAGGCTAGGCTGAGAGGGTGGCTCACCCACACTCACCCTACAGGCTTCATCATAGCGCAGTCAAGTGTGTGGTATGAAGCCCGTTTAATCAGCCCCCCCCCTGTGGGCTCAGCCCTGGACAGCAGCACAGACTCATCAGACAAAGCAATCAGGAAAGAAACAGTTTTATTTCTCTGTGTGTCACTTCAGTATCACCTTTCACACACCAACACTTATTTACTATATTATGCAAAGTTAACTTAAAAGCTTCCCTCTTGCATAACATTCCAATCATTCTTCTTGAAGAGGCTTCTCTCCACAGACAGGAATCGAATTTCTCACCCACCTGCTTTTTTAAGTTGCAACCCCAATCAAAAAGTAGCCTGTTATCCCTGGTATAAGATATTACGTTAGATGGAAGAACTCAGAGGAACAGTTTCCAGGAACACTTAACACTGACATCCGTGCCAAGGCACACTTGCAATGGAATCCATGTGCTTTTCCAGAGGGTCCTAAGATGCTCACATATGCGTGCACAATTTGTATGTGGTCCTAAGGTTGTTAGACCTAGTGGTCACCCCACCTCAACAGTGCCCTTTGCAGGTGTGCACTGCAGCAAGAAGAAAGAATGGCCCTCAAGAAGCTGATCAGAAACTGCCGGCCATGGCAGATCTGTTTTAGCTACATGTGAACATCCTATGAGCATCACTGGAGAACTCAACAACAGGCTTTCATAAGAGGGAGTTGTAAACTCTGATGCTAAATATCGGCTGCGGTCACACGGAACAGTAGCCACGCTAGAGAGATGGAAGATAGGCGGATTTTCCGGGCACGATCTCACCGCCACATCTGGGAAGCGTAGAGCTCCCGTGGCTCAACCGAGGCTTCCCTCCGAAGATGCGCGGCAAAAAACTAGTACTTCGGAGGTACTAGTTTCCGGGCAAGGGCGGGTGTCTGATCGCGTTTCCGGAGGCATCCGGCGCCCGCCCATCTCCCCTCGCAAACAGGTCATTTCCCCCCCCAAGGCTCCACGGATGCGCACAAGCACCCAACGGAGCATGCGCACACTTCAGTTTTAAAAAGTTTTTAAAAACCCAACAACCCCGTTTGCCGCCCCACCCCGCTTCTTTGACTGTGGTGTGATCGGCACCTCCCCTCTAGCCACGGGACCTTGACGGGACCTCAACTGGACGTCTGATCTCGCAGTTGCGCGTTAGTTCCCCCCCCCCCCGCATTTTCCAGCACGTGTGACTGGGGCCATCATTAAGTTCTTCATGCATGCTTCTTGAAGGTGCTATTATGATACCTGGTGCAAAACGCTCCTTTATTTTGATTTATAAAATAAAAAGCATACTCCAAAAGCAATCCTAACCACAGCATCCTTCTAAGTCCAGTGATCGTGTAACTCTGCTTAGGACTGCACTGCAAAATACTTTCTAAAGCAAACAGTACACACACACACACACACACCGCAAAAAAAGAGGACAAACCTGTTTGCAGTACGTTTGCACACTGATTTTGGCTTTCTTCTAGGCTTCTTGAGAGCTGGTTGATGAATGCATTTTTTTCTAATTTGCTTTCTTCTAGGGTTCTTTCATGTTGTTTCTTGTCCTCCCTTAGATGATAGCAGAATTCTGTCTGATAAAAGATATCACAGATCTTACATATCTGTCTTTGCACAGATAGGCTAAGTAGCTATAAGAAACAGCAAAGAATTGCCTTTTCTTACATATACAAATGATGGTGTGTGTGTGTTTTAAGCCAAGTTTTAGGATCTGACATACAGTTGCAAGGTCATCTTGGAGAATTAGCCACGTAAGGAATTTATTGCAGAAGATAAACCATAGCCAAAGATGATGTATGACCACAAAGCAACATTTTGCTCTTTTTTTCTACCTTTTAAGGAAGTACTCCAAAAGATAACGAGAGATTCAGCAATGTCAGAATCCTGGAATGAAGCACTTATAACCCTGATTCATAAACCAGATTCTGAAGAGAATGAAATCCAAAACTATAGGCCTATTTCCTTGTTAAATGTAGATTATAAAATTTTTGCAAATATATTGGCCTCAAGATTTAAAAAGGTCCTATTACAAATCATCCATCAAGACTAAGCAGGCTTTCTCCCTAAGAGAGAAATGAAAAACAACATAAGAACTATTCTTAATGTACTGGAATATTACGAAGCCCATCCTGAGAAGCAGTTGGCATTACCTTTCTTGGACGCGGAAAAAGCCTTTGATAATGTATTGTGGGATTTCCTAAGAGCAAAATTAGAAATACGGGACTGTGGTGTAAACTTTCTATCAATGATCTCGGCCATATATAAGAAACAACAGGCAGAAGTTTTAATCAATGGAGACCTATCACAAAGGATCAAGATTCAAAAAGGAACCAGGCAGGGATGTCCTTTATCCCCTTTACTATTTATTTTCTTACTAGAATCACTGAACGACAATGTAAGGCAAAATGAAAAAATAAGAGGACTAAGAATTAAAAATAAAGAATATAAATTACAGGCCTTCGCGGACAATTTAGTTTTTATATTAGAACAACCACGACTATCTGCTCCACAGCTCCTAGATGAAATACAAAAATATGGAAAAGTAGCAGGACTCAAAATAAATCTTAAGAAAACTAAAATATTAGCAAAAATTGTCCACAAGAAGCATTAAAGGAGCTACAAGAGATTACAAAGATACAAATTACGAATAAAATTAAATATCTAGGTATAATATTAACAAACAGAAACAGAATGTTGTTGGAAAATAATTATAAAAAACTGATGGAAGAAATAAATTAAACATCCTACAAGATAAAAAAGAAAGAGGTGGTTTGGTTTGCAAATTGGCAGCTTTATTACCAAGCAGCAGCGATGGGATGGATAAAGGAGTGGATACTTCTAGAAAACTGGTGACTTTTACGTCTAGAAGGCCATGACCTACATATGGGTTGGCACGCATACGTTTGGTATGCAAAAGATAAAGTACACTCAAATTTCCACAATCACGTTATCAGAGCGACGTTACTAAAAGTTTGGAAGGAAATAAAAGAAAAATATTATCCAAAAATTCCAAGATGGGTATCACCCTTAGAATCCTTTATAAAACCTACACTTATAACGAAGGAAAAAACCTGCTCATATGACATACTATTAGGTGATTCTAATAAGCTAAAATCTATAGAAAACTTAAAAGCAAATAATATTAACCTTACTTGGTGGGAACAAACACAACTACATGGAAGATACAATAAAGACAAATTAACGGATTTTTTAAAGACTAAATCGGAACTTGACAAAATATGGCTTTCCTCCAATGACAAACCAATACAAAAAATGTATAATTTCCTTCTAGATGACTTCATGCAGGATGAAGTAATAAAGAACTTGATGATTGCGTGGATGCAGGACTTGGGGTATAACATTCAAATTGATGACTGGCCCAAAATACCACTTTTAAAGAAAATATATATAAGATGTTCCATAGGTGGTATTGGACACCAGACAGGATAGCCAAACTGTATAAGACAACATCTGGAAACTGCTGGAGATGTAAATGTAATGTAGGAACGTTCTTCCATATGTGGTGGAGATGCAGTAGAACCAATAAATTTTGGCAAAATGTTAATAATATAATAGAAATGCTAAATATCAACTTGAAATTATTACCAGAGATTTTTTTGTTAAATATAATTCCTAATTCTTTTGAGCAAAATGAGGTATACATTTTTACTTATATTTTTACAGCAGCTAGAATACTAAAAGCAAAATATTGGAAATCTGAAAGGATACCAGCAAGAGAAGAATTAGCTAAGAAATTGCTGGAGGTCGCAGAAATGGATAAACTTAACATACTATTACAAGGAAAAGATGACAGGATTTTTCAAAAAAGGTGGTTTAGAGTATATAAATGGATTGAAGAAAAATGTAAATAATGGACCCATAACAAGGTTAACCTATGTAATATTTGTTGTATGTATATTATGTTAAAAATAAATATAATTATATAAAAAAATAATCCATTGATGTATTAGGGATATTTGATACTGGTGGTATACAAATTTTTTTAAACGTAAACCACTTTGGATTCATTGTGAGGCTAAGAATGGGGATAATGGTTGAAGAAATGAATGAACGAACTAGGGACTCCCTGAGTTTGAACATGGAGTTTCCCTATATCTACTCTATTGTGTTGGCGGCGGCTGTAATGCCTATGAGAACCACGCTGGGGACCCCTGCTCTAGGTGATATGTTATTTCATGTATGAAGATGTGATATCTCGTCTCTTTATAGCACATCACACCTTTTACCCATCCTGACA